TGAATTGAGATAGATTTTATTAAGTCAAGAAATACTTATGGAAATCTCTAGGATAACTACTAAAACAATATACAAATGAAAATCTAATGGAGGGAAGAAAATGAAAAGAGGTCAAGAAACTGTAAATAAAAATTGGACATTGAACAAGAGACAAATATAAACAAATAGTGAAAAGTAGTTTTAACTTCAGTATGTCAAGAATTACACTAAATGTAAATGGACCAAATACTCAAAAGTAAATTTTGCCCATCTATATTTAAAAAGAATATAACTATGTTTTGCTTATAAGAAATATATCATAAATATGAAGATACTGGAAAGCTTAAAGTAAAAGGGTGAAAAAGATAACCCATGAGAATACCAATGGAAATAAAGCTGGTATAGATATAATATCAGACAAAGTAGACTTTAAGGCAAAAACATTATCAGACATGAAGAGAAAAATGGATTTTTTTCAACAAGAACATAAAACCCTTAAATTCTATGCACCTACTAACATAGTCACAAAATATATAAAGTAAAAATAGACATAACTAAAAAAAGAAACAAATACACAATCATGATTGGAAATTTTAAGATACTTCTGTCTATAATTAACAGACAAAAATCAAGAAGAATATAAAATATTCAAAAATATAATAAACTTGGCCTAGTTTAAATAAATAGAATATTGCACCAAACAACATTAGAATACACATTTCTTTAAGAATGTACAGAAATAGAACAAACACTTTACTATTCTACAAACTCAGTTGGGCTAGACTGAATTCATACTAACTATATGCCTTATCACATTGGAATAAAGCAAGAAATCAGTAATGAAAATATAACTAGAAACTCCCAATGCTTAGGAGTTAAGTAATATGTTTCAAAATAATCTAGTAATACAGAAATAACATAATGGAATTGAAAAAATTTTGAAGTGACTGACAATGAAAATATGACATCCAAGCTGTTAAAATGCAATTAATATAGTGCCTGAAGGGAATTTACAGTAAGAAATACATATGATAAAGAAGAAAAGTTTTAAAAATCAATCATTTAAATTTCTATTTCAAGGAGCTTTAAAAATAACAATTTATTAAACCCAAGGACTATTGGAGGAGGGAAATAATAAAAATAAAGAGGGTTAGTGATATGTCTCAGTAGTAGTTAATCTAACATGTGTGAAGCCCTAGATTTGATAACTAGCACTACAAAAATAAAAATAAAGATTTGAAATCAATAAAACAGAAAATACATTTATGACAGAAATGTCTATAGATCCTGAACCAATTCTTTGAAAAGATTAATATAACCAGTAACCCCCCAGCAAAGATAAAAGAGAGAAAAGAAAACATCATAAACCAAATACAGTAGTAATAAACAATATTATGTTGTATAAAAAGGATAACATGTCACGACCAAGTTGGATTTATCTCCTGAATGCAAGGTTGATTTAGCATTTTTAAATCAACCAGTTAATATGCTACATTATTAGAATAAAGAAAAGCTCCTAATAAGATCATTTCAATAGCTGGAGAAAAAGCTTTTTATAAACAATGTCTAATTATAATAAAGCTATACAGGAAGAGAAGTTCCTAATCTGACAGAGAGCATCTACACAAAACCTATAACAAGAACCTGACTGAATTGTGGGGTCTCAAAGGTGTTTCATCCGAGGAAAGGCAAAAAACAAATGTATCTACCATGACTACTTCTGTTCACCATTGTTCTGAAGTTGTAATCAATGTACTAGGACAAGAAAAAATAAATGAAATGGTTAGGATTTGCACATATAATTGTATAAGCAGCTAATGCTAAAGGACTCACGAGTATTTTATTATAATTAATAGATGAATTTCATCAGTTTGCTGGATGCAATTGCATTTGTAAAAATTAATTGTATTTCTATGTACTACAACCAAACAATTATTAGGTAATATTTAAAAATACACCTTTTAAATAGTAAATAAATCTAGAAATGAATCTAACAAACAAAAGATAGATGTAAATCTCTGAACAAAAACTATAAAATTTTATGGTGAACATTTAGAAAGGAAGGGGTCTTCCACTGTGCTTTGTGCTGTTGAGAGTTGAATGAAATATGGCCTGAGAACCAACCATGGGATGTGACAATGTAGAACTTGATGGTGACCTCAAGATGAGCATTTTCAGTGTCACAGGCCAATGTCAAAGTATTGTGGTTTAGATCCAGAATACCTCCCGAAGTGCTCATATCCTAAGGGGCAGGGCTTTTGGAAGGTGATTGGATAAAGGGAGGCATTGCATTTATCAGTGGGTTCATCCACTAATGACTTCACAGCTGAATGTGCTGCTAGGAGGTGGTCATTGGGAGTGTGACCTGGAAGGGTGTATTTTTCATCTTGGCTTCTCCCTTTCGTCTCTGCTCCCTGATCACCATGACTTCAAAAGATTTCCTCTGAAGCAGGCCCTTCTACCATACTGATTCTGCATTTGATCTACCAAACAAGGACCAAAACTACTGAAAATGCCATAAAACCTCTGCTTTCTCCTATGGGTGTCAAGTATATTGTCCCAGTGATGAGAAGGTGGCTAAAACACAGTGCAGAAGACTTATTTCCAAAGCACCAAAAGAGAATGGGAAGTGAAGATTTAGTGAAGCAGGAATAAAAACTTATTAGAGTAGTTTTCCCATGAGATAGAGCAGAGAAGTAGGGCAGTGAATGAAGGAGGCACATTGAGTCAAGGAAGATCTTTGTTAGGATTTCTTCCTTTTCTTTTTTTCTCAAAGCTTGGTGATATGGCACTATGTAGCAGAGGGAAAGTTGTGAATTTGATTACTAGTTTCTTCCACAGTGTTCTGGGCCCTATGTCAACCAGGGAATGAATGGAGGTAACACATTCCATGTCTGCAGATTTCCCATGAGGTTTAAAGTTCCCTGCACATTGGTAGGGAAGTGAAGAGACTGCTTAGCTCAAAGGACAGAATAGTTCCCAGGTTTCAGCTGTAGCTCACCCGTGGTGTTCTGCTAAATAACCCAATTGTGATCCTGCCTAAGATTCTTCGCTGTCTCCTTGCTCTCCTGGGGATAAAGTCAAACTGCCTCAACAGGACTGATGCAGCTTGCTACCCTTGGACCTGCCCTCATCAACTCCCTCCCCATCCCCTGGCATTCTGTACACCCCCTGCCCTCTTAAGGTAACTAAGACCTGGAATATGTTCAGTTCAAGAACAGGAGGCTTCACAGAATGTGAAACTTTCAGCTTTAAAATTAGGGAAGTTTTAGGAAAACCAAGTGTGCTAGTCAGCTTTCCCATTGCTGTGATACTCGACCTACTTAACAGTTTACCCTGAGTGTCTCTTGGGCAGCGTGTTGGTTTAGATACTATCCTGAGTGTCATTTGGGCAGGTGTCATTTCAACCAGTTGATTCTTGTACTGAATAAATTTGATAAAATTGTTGTTTTTATATTCCTGTTATATTATCTTATAAAAATTAATTTTTAGATATGCAAATTTTGGTCATCCTGTATTTAAATTAAATAATTGGACTGGTAAGTGGCTAAAGGAGGAGAGGTTTATTTGGCTTACAGAGTCAGATGGTTGAGTTCATGGTTGGCTGTCTTCAAGGCTCCAAGGCAGAATTGGCATGGCAGGAGGGGGCAGAACAGAGCAAAGCTGCTTAATCCATGGCAGTCAGAAAGGAAAGAAGAAGGAAGGGAGAGAGGGAAAGAGGGGGCATAGACAGGGCAAGGGAGAGAAAGAGGGAGAAGGGAGAGAGAAAGAGAGAGGAGAGAGAGAGAGAGAGAGAGAGAGAGAGAGAGAGAGAGAGAGAGAGAGAGAGAGAATATAAATATACCCCTTCAGGTCACATCCCCCCGGACCCATCTCTTACCACCCACTGATGTGTATAGCATTCCCATTATCCAATCACCTTCCAGAAGTGCAACCTCTGAACACATGAAACACATGAGACTTTGGGGAACATTCTAGATCTAAACCATAGCACCAGGTGACTTGCTTCTTGGGCACTACCCTCTCCCTTCCTATTTGCCCAAATTCCCACAAGCCATTGCATTTTCTGGAATGTCCTTGACTTTGCTCTGCTGGAATATGAACCTCTGTCTTTTCACTCAGCTAAGCCCTCTTTCCCCCTCTTTAAAGGTCAAGTCAAGGATCATGTTTGCCCAGACTCCTTTGTCCTCCCTCTGCCTGCACTTTCACCACCCCCACCCCACCATCCTGGGCTGGGTCCTTACTTGCATGATCCACAACATTCTGGGCTTACACTTCTAATTCTTTTTCCAGACCTACATTCTTTTTCTCTGGTACTGGGATTGGACCTAGAGGGTTTGTGCTGAGCTACATCCCCAACCCTTTTGTATTTTATTTTTTATTTTGCGATTAATCTCACTGAGTCACAAATTTTCCCAGGCTTTTTGGCCAGTGAGCTGAGTATTACTGAGTCACAAATTTGGCCAGATATTTGATTCTTCTGCCTCAGCCTCGCAGAGTGCTGAGATTACAAGCATGTACCACTATGCCCAACTATACTTATAATGTTTATATTGAATTGATAATAGTTTTAATCACTCTGCTAGATTGTTCCTTGAGTACAGGAGCTTATGACTTTAATAATTCATTTTAGTATCTCCAATGCTTAACATGATACTTGGTATATAATGAATAAATACATGTCGAATAAAAGAATGTATAAATGGGTCTCAAGAAGGGTAGAAGAATGAAAGAAAATTGCAGCTAGGTAAAGACCACAGAACAGTGGTTCCTAAGTACTGTGCTGCCTTCCAAGTCTTCTTGGAGGAGCTCCCAGAATTGGATCCATCTGTGAAATGTGTGTCCTAACTGACTCAGAGTGTTGGGAGGAGAAACTGAAAGAATAAATATAGGATTCATAGGATACCTTTCAAGACATTCCAAGTGCTCCAGTCATCTATTGTTGGGTCACAATCCATCTTAGAACATAGTGGCTTAAACAGTGACAATATGATATTTGACATTATCTCGATGGTCTTGAGTGTAGGTGAGGTCAAATGACTGGCATGGGACCTCTCAGTTGGTTGTGGTCAGACAGCAGTTGGACTGGGGTCACCTTGAAGGCTGCTTCACTCCCATGTCTGTATCATGCACTGGGGAGACTCAGGTAACTGAGGGTTGGGAGACCTGGGCTCATCGGGCATCTTTGTGTCTATGTTATCTTTCCAGCTGATCAGCCTGGCATGGTGGCTTCCCAGTAGTCAGGCTTTAAAGATAGTAGCTCATGGCTCCATGAATGAATGTCCATGAGAACCCTGGGAGCTATAGACGCATACATTTTTGGCAGAGCTGATATTGCCTTCAAAGGGGGTAAAAGTTGATCCTCAAGGAGGTGTAAAATACTCTTTTTATATATAAAAACAAAAGGGCACATATTGTATGAGAGATATGTACTGTATCACAGAAGTGGAGAAGTGACCAGAAAAAAAATATCTAAAAAGGCTCTTTAGGAGGATGATCATAAAAACAAGAAAAAATTTGGGAAGCAGTGTTCTGTCTTGGAAGTCCATAGTGTCATTTTTGACTGTATGTACTCTGTTGGTTGAAGCAGGTATGAACCTGTCCAGGTTCAAAAAAGGGGGTCCTAGACTCCACCTCTCAGTGGAAGAAGTGTCTAAGAACAGGCTGAATATAAAGAGTGAACATTCTGTAGATTCCTGTAGTTACAGAGCTCTGTTTGGTGCAGTTATACCAAGAACATGAAAAGCAGAGGGGAGAGGACTCTCTTAAGAGCCAGAAAGAACACGAACCTATGACAAAGCAAGAAGTCTTTTTTATGGGCTGAGGTGAGAATGTTTGCCCCAGTTTGTGGAAGAAAGAGAGGTCAGGCAGCAAGAGCTCTTTCTTGATTCCGTAACCTAGAAAGTGCTTACATAAGTGTCCAAGGCAGAATACAAATTGATACACAAAAATCAACAGAATTCCCATACACCAATAATGAAACCACCAAGACAGAAATTAGGAAAACTATTCCATTCACAGTAGTGTCAGAAAAATCGAATCTCTAAGAAATCAACCTAACCAAGGAGGTTAGAGGCCACTACAGTGAAAATTACAGGATACTGAAAAAATAGATAAAAGCAAACGTTAGAAAATGGAAAGACCTCTCTTGTTCATCGTTGAGGAGAACTAATATTGTGGAAATGCCCATGTTACCAAAAGTCATCTACAGATTCAATGCAATCCCTATTAAAGTACCAACAACATGCTTCACAGAACTAGAAAAACCCATCCCAAAATCCACAAAGAAGCACAAAAGACCCAGAGTAGCCAAATCATCTTAAACAAAAAGAGCAATGCTAGAGGCATCACTATACCAGACTTCAAATTATACTACAAAACCATAGTAACAAAAACAACATTGTAAGGCACAAAAACAACATTGTAAGGCATAAAAACAGGCAAATAGACCAGTGAAATAAAGCAGAAGACAGAGGAAAAAAACATGAATCTGCAGCCATATAATAGTTGACAAAGAGTTCAAAAACATGATGAAGAAAAGATAGCCTCTTTTATTTTTCTCTTAAATTCTTTTATTGGTGCATTTTAGGTATACAATATGTTTACATTTATCGTTGGGTGCTTGTACCTGTACATGATGTATCTTGGTTCTTATTTTTTTCCCCATTACCTGTGCGGCCTTCATCCCCTCCACCCTTCCCTATTTATATAGACTTTGTTTCCATTTTTTTCTCAAAAAAACCACTTTTTTGGGGGCGGGTACTGGGGATAGAACTAGGGACCTTGTGCTTGCGAGGCAGGTGGCGGAACCACTAAGCTAAATCCCTGGCCCAAGATAGCCTCTTTAACAAATGGTGCTGGGCAAACTGAGTCTTCACATGCAGAAAATTGAAAGTAGATTGTTATCTATCATCCTGTACTAAAAATCAAATCAAAATAGATCAATGACCCAGATATAAAACCAGAAACTTTGAAATGATGGAAGAAAACAGGGGAAAGAGCCATAGGCACAGACTAAGACTTCCTGAGTAGGATTCTGATAGCACAGGAAATATCAAGAATCAATAAATTAAAACAAAATGACAATTACCTTCTGTGCAGCAAAGGAAACCATTAACAGAGTGAAGAGCTAGCCTGCAGAATAGGAGAAAATATTTGCTAGCTATTCTTCTGATAGAGGGTTAATCCCTAGAATATGTAAAGAACTAAAAAAAAATTAACCCCCAATATTGAATAATCCAATCAAAACATGGGCAAATCAGCTGAATAGACACACCTTAAAAGTACAAGTACAAATTGCCAATAAGTATATAAAAATTGTCCAACAACTTTAGCCATTAGGGAAATGCATATCAAAACTATTTTGAGATTCCATTTCACCCTGGTGGGAATGGCTGTCATCAAGAATATTAAAAAAAAAAAAAAAGAATGCTGGTGAGGCTGTTGGGAAAAGAACCTCTCCTACATTGCTGGTGGGAAAGTAAACTAGTACAGCCACTGTGGAAATCAGTATGGAGAATCCTCAAAAGACTAAAACTAGAAATACAATTTGATGTAGCTATACATCTCCTGGGTACATTCCCCAAAGAGTTAAAGACAGCTTTCTGTAGCTACACAGGTGTACCTGTGTTCACAGTGGCACTCTTTGCAATAGTTAAGCTGTAGAAACAGCTTAGGTGTCTGTCCGCTGATTAATGGATGAAGAAAATGTGTTCTATACACACAATGGAGTATATTCAGCCAGAAAGAATGAAGTCATGTCATTTGCAGGAAAATGGATGGAAGTGGAGACTGTCATGTTAAGCGAAATAAGCCAGACTCAGAAAATTAAATATTGCATGGTTTCCCTTATATAAGAAACCAAATAAGTAAGTAAATAATTCAGAAAGAAAATAAACAAATAAAGGAGGGATAACAGGAAACTAGACATTAGAGAGAACAGGGTTAGGGAAAAAGAGGAAAGGAAGGGAGGGGGGTAATGGGATTGAAAATGATAAAGATATGTTAAATGTACGTAACAATTGACTCAAATAAACCTCACAATTCTGTGTGCTCTAATAAAAAGAGGGGAAGAAAGAAAAAAAGTCAACCAGAGTTTTGAAAACATTTATCTGAGTGTTTCAATCTGGTATTATTTATGTCACAAATGAAATTTTCTCCTGATGATATACTAAAATATAAAAATAAAACAACATAAAAAGTGTGCAAGGGGGCTGGGGATGTAGCTCAGTGGTTCCACCTCCTGTCTCGCAAGCACAAGGACCCGGGTTCAATCCCCGGTACCAAAAAAACCAAACCAAACCAAAGTGCGCAAGGATTGTGGCTGCTGTTGCACACCCTCGTGGATGCCGGGATACATTGCACTTGTGACCATGGAGTGGTCATTGCTGACCTGAATGCCCAGTTATGCATTCTGGGGTGAGACATTCACATTTCACAAGCCAGGAGACTGCCCTGGACAGGCACAGCAGCTTGGTTGGGCAAATTCATGCTAAGAGGTGTAGGATCTGCTCTGTTGTGGCTTCCACTTCAGCCCTGGATCCTAGGCCCCAGAGACTGGAGGAATTGTTAGTAATTCTTTTCTGTGGTGGTAACCAGGCAAAGACTCAAGGCCTAGAGGGCTCCAGTGGGGCCAGGGCCTGGATTTGGACAGGGAAGTGAGCCCTGGGCTCTGCTCAGGAGGACTGGGCCTGTGTTTTCACCTCTCAGGGAGGGCAGGCTCCTTGGGATGCTCTTCTTACAAGTACCTCATTTCTTTTCGTCCTATGTGAGCATGCCACTGATCTCTCTCTTCCCTTGCAAGAATAAAGAATTTTCACTTTCATTTCAAAAGTTACATGTTCATTTTTGGATTTTATCTTCTCTTTTCAAAACCTAAAGCAGTGTGTGTGTGTTGAAGGTTCACAGGCAGAGATGGAGGAGGTAAAGAGAGTTCTTATGCTTATTAACTCAAGCATGGTCCAACCTCAATATGTTTTGGAAATGATGGAAGAAATGACCTGTCCCATGCTGTCTTTCTTTGGCCTATTGATCAAGTGGCCCAGGAAGCCTCCAGGAAGTGAGCACTGAGCCATAGGACTGGAGTCATTGGCAGAAATGACAGGATCTTGCAGATGTTGTGCTTAAAAGGATAATTCAAACAAATCTCTAGAAACTACTTGAGCTTTAATAAATCCACATTTTCATCCTAATCATTCTGCTTCTTGCAATCCTGGAGAGATGGATGAAGATAATTCTGTAAGAGTGTTTACCCCTGTGTTATTTATAACTATGAAACACTGGAAGCAATCTAACTTTTCAATAATGGGGAGTTTGTTAAGTAATCATGATTAAAAACACTCACATGGGGAAAGGCTGAGTCTCTCTTATTTATTCCTTTGTGATGAAATCAGCACATGGCAACATGGCGTATGTAAGAGCACAAATAAAGATTTCTTTGGTAAGAGTTTCACTGAGACCTAAATCATATACCACTCAATTCCCCCATGTAAATTATACAATTCAACAGTTTTTACTCTATTGACAAATATGTACAAGGATCATGCCAACCGATTTTAGAATATTTTAATCACCTCTGCTTACTCATCAACAGCAACCCTCCATCTCCCATCAGCAGCAAACTCTAGGCAAGCAAGTATTCACTTTCTCTCTCTATTGATTTGCCTCTTCTGGAAATTTTATATAAGTACAATTCTATAATGGATGGCCATTTGTCACTGGCTTCCTTCACTTAGCATAATGTTTTCAAGGTTCATCTATGCCATACCATGGATCAGCACTTTATTCTTTTTAATTGCTAAATAAGGTTCCATTATGTGGATAGACCACATTTTTAGTCATGTATCAATCGATAGATATTTGGGTTGTTTTCACCTTTTGCCTATTATGAGCAATGTTGCTGTAAATATTTGTGCACAAGCTTTTGTGGGTGTGTAATCTTTAGTTTCTCTTGGAATATGTATTTAGAAGTAGAGTTCCTCAGCCAAATGATGACTCTATATTTAAACTTTTAGAAACTACCAAATTGTTTTCAAAAGTGGTTGTACCACTACTTATATCCCTGACAGTAGTGCAGGAGAGTATAGTTGCTCCATATCATTGCTGTACTAAAAATCTTTGCTAGATAAATAATGCTGAGGTTGGATTGTGGCATAAGATCATAAGACTCTAAATCTATAAATTTGTATTTTCCTTTTTAAAATTGCATTAAGAACAAATCTTGTAGGCGATATAATAAATTATTTCCAGTTTGATGTGATTAGGAGTAATTAAAATTTTCATTGTAATTTTCACATTCCCTAACTTGCTGCAGTGAAAAAAATGTGCTTTTAAAATAAGAAAAATGGGCCAAGGATTTAGCTCAGTGGTTCTGCCACTTATCTTGCAAGCACAAGGTCCCAAGTTCGATCCCCAGTACAAAAAGAAAGAAAAATGATCTGGGCCTGGTAGTGCACACCTGTAATCCTAGTACTCTGGGAGTCTGAGGTGGGAGGATGGTGGGTTAGAACCCACCCCAGGAAACTTAGTGACTTAATGAGACTGTCTCAAAACAAACAAGAAAGACCGGGGATATAGCTCAGTGAAAAGCCCTGGGTTCAGTCCTCAGTACTGCAAAACATATTACCAATTGATATTGGTTGGTGGAAGGTGTATCACACAGCAGGAAAAATTGTCTCAAATAAAATTTTTATAGGCAGAGGTGTCTGAGTTAAAGACCTTGATAGCATTGAGCTGAATTCCTTTAGTTTCACTTGCCTTGGGCTGGATGGAAAGATTCAGGTGACTGTGATTGGGCTGCACACCAGTCACAATTCTTGGTTGCAAATAACAGAAAGCAACACCAGCTAAAGTAAGCAGGAAAGGAGTGTAGTGGAAGATATCAGGTGGTTTGCAGAAGGCTGGAGATCTCAGCTTTGGAAAATAAGCCAAAGACAAGGGGAGTGAGGAAGAGTCAGTATCCCTCTAGTGGAAGAGGTAACCAGCTCCCAGGGCCCTAGCATCTGAATAGCACATCCAAGTCATTGAGCTTGTCCCCATCTGAACTCATGATGTTGTGTCCTGGAAACTGTGAACCTGCTGCCACAGCCATGTGGTTCCTGGCCCTTGTTTCCTTCCTTAACCCTGAGAGCATTGGGTTGACCAGGCTTAAGAATCCAGGAGAAGATGCCTGCCCCAGGACCATGGAGGAGCAGAAGTGTTCTTCCACTATGATGGGAGCCCTGCCTCCTTCTGTGGTGGAAAAATTTCTACCTAGAAGTATACCTGGGGCTCAACAGACAGAATCTGCCCCAGCAGAGACTTCTCTATCAATGTCATTCAGATTGTGTTGTCATAGTCACAAGCATTTGGGGAAGAATGCAAATGTTATTTTTTGTCAAATCATTCACATTTCAGCAGAAAACACTATTTGTGCTGTATCGGTCAGAGCCAATCACGTCAGCTGCTGTAACACACAACTGCAAGGTCTTGGTGCTGTAAGACCAAGTAAGATTTACTTCTTGCTCATCACAGTCCAAAAGGTATTCAATAATCCCCCTTGCAAGTGGTGATCAGAAACCCAGGCATCTGTTATTTCCTGGTGCTGCCCTCTTGAGGGGAGGTGATCTTGCCAGAACTCCTTGGATCTCCCTGCTCTGGCAAGTGAAGAGGGAGGAGAAAGTACAAAGAGGATCATCCAGGAGATTTCAGGGCTCAGGTCTGGAAAGGTGAGGATCACTTCCCCCTGCCTTCCACTAACACAGTCTGGCTTCATTCCCAGGGAGGCTAGGAAGAGCTGTCCAGATGTATGAGTAGCAAGCCCTGGAAATGGGCTTGCTGAGCAGGTCACCTTCCAAAGCCCAATATTAATAAAGAAGAACAAAAGAAGCTTTTGTCAAAATCTGCCTTGGTGCTTTGTAATGCAGTTGAGTTCGCTCATCTCTCTGAGAATGGATTAAGTTCCTCATCCTCAAAAAATGCACTTGTGAAAACATTTTGCAGACAGTCTAATGAACTTAGGCTACCTCTGTGGCCTGGGGGGAGGAATTGCCTGCTGTATGTGGAAGTAGAGAGCAAGCTGACATTACTGATCTCCTGCTATGCACACTGCAACTTTCTGGACACCGTGGGGCCACACAGCTGAACTAGACAAAGCCATCTGCCCTAGAGAGCTTCTCAAGTCTCAGGTGGGAGTTAGAGAACCCATTGTCACCTGAGACCAAATTATAGTAAGTGGGATGCTAGAGGTACAAGATGGTGACCAAGAAGTGGCCCAAGGCATCAGTTTACCTAGGCCACCTAGGAGATTCTTTAGGATTGGATTGCAAAATTGAGATGGGGCAGGCCATTCATATTCATATTCATTCATCCTTTCATCTATTTGTTCTTTCAGTTTTCACTCATTTCTAGGCACTGTTTTAAGTGGTGTGATGAAGCACTGAATGGGAGAGACAAGATTCTGTTTTCAGAGGAGCTCACATTCTAACTGAGAAAGCTGAGATGAGGAGAAGGAGGGAGCTATTAGTAGAAATAAACTTATAAACCATCCAGTGTCTCTAATTAAATGTTATAGTTTGGATCTTGACTCTCCCTCAAGGGCCCATGTGTTAAAGGTGTAGTCCCCAGTGTGGTGCTATTGGAAGATAGTAGAACCTTCCAAAAGGAGGGCCTTTGGTCATTTGGGGTGTGACCTTGAAGGGACTATGGGACCCTAGTCTCCTCTTCACTCTCTTTGCTTCCTGGTAGCAAGGTGAGTACTTTTGCCCCACCATGGATTCCCACCGTGATCTGCTGCCTACTGCCTTACCCCTATCAAAGGCCTAAAAGCAATCAGTTCACCTGATTATGGACTGGATCCTTTGAACTGAGAGCCAAAGCAAACCTCCTCTCTATACTTTTATTATTTTTAGTCATTTTCTGTAGAGATGGAAAACGGACTACTACATCAAATATCTACGCTCCTCTCTGTTTTCGAGAAGCCTTGGAAGGAAACACTCCCTGCTGAGAGGCCAGCACTGTTGGCCCAGACTTCATGACCACTTTGACCCTATTCCTTGGGGGACACCTGGCAGAGCTGGGCCAGCCACCACGGCCCTTGGCAGGGCATGTCCAGCCAGATCAAACTCCTGGGATCATCTGGGGCATTTCCTTAGCAGGAAACACCAGTCAGATGAGAAGCTGTAGTAGAGTGTTCCAGATGTGGCAGTGCCAATGAGGAGCCAGAAAGCTGAAAGGAACTTTTCTAAACCGTTGCTAAAGAAAAACAAACTTCACTTTGGAAAAAGCCCCAGGCATTCCTTATAAAGCACACACCTACTCTTAGGTAACCACTCACAAGACAGGATTAGATGTGGGTAGAAAAGATGTGTACAAGAATGTTTGTAGCTGCTTTAGGCAACATAGCCACAGACTGGAGACAGCCCTGGTGTCTATCAGCAAGAGAACACATAAGCAAGTTGTGCTGTATTTATGCAAAGGGTAGGTGCTCAGGAATAAAAAGAAACATGATCTTGACACAGGCAACAATGTGGACATTGTCATAAACAGTATGTTGAGTGAAAAAAGCCAGATGTCAAAGGGAATATTGTGTATGATGTGGCATATATGCAGTTTTAACAGGTGAAGCTAATCTATGGGACAGAATAAACAAGAAGCAGCGTGACTCCTTGGGGCTGGGGGACAGGCATGGACAGAGAAGGCCAGGAGGGAATCCAGTGCTGGGAAGAATGCTCCAGGTTTTGGTATGATTTTGGTTACACAAGTGCACCCAAAGGATAGTATGCTTTATGTATTTAATTTTATGTACATTTCACCTCAAAAGGAAAATATCTTAACTCAAGTTAACAATAACAAGTCAACCATGAAGTGTTTGGAACAAAGTGTAGTGAGGTCTGCAACTTTGGAATGCATAGAGCAACAAGATGGGTGGTCAGAAATTAGATATGTGAGAAAGCAAATACAATAAAATTTGTAGATGCCAAGAGGAGGGTATGTTGATGGGTGTTTACTGTGAAGGGTTTTGCACTTTATGTTGGAATATTTTCATGAAAGGAAATACTGCCACATACTGAACCACTCGAAGGTCTGGTGACTTCAAACAACAGCTGTTTGAACCTAGTTCTCTGGTCTGGCTCATGATAATTCTGTTGCAGGCAAGGCTGGCTGGGGCACTGAGATGGCTGGAAGGTATGCAGTCATCCACTTGCTCAGGGTTGGTGTTGGACACCAGCAGGGAGCACGGGTGGCCTGAGGTGCAGTCTTGGTGCTCCTTCTCTGGTGGCCTCTTCAGGAGCAGTGGCCTGGGCTCTGTCTTAGCCGAACAGCCAAGTTCACAGAGGAAGCTGGGTGGTGGAAGCAGAAGCTGTTGGATCTGGACAGGGAAAATACAAGATTTGAGGGAAGGGGAAATGGCATCAACTTTTTAATTGGAAGAGTACCAAGAATTTAGTTTTTCTTTGGTGTGTGTGTGGTACTGGGGATTGAATCCAGGGCTTTTGTATTGAGTGCATCCCCAGCCCCTTTTTACTTTTTATTTTTTGACATAAGGTCTTGCTAAATTGGTCAGTTGCTCAGGCTGGGCTTGAACTTGTGATCTTCCTGCCTCAGCCTACCAGACTGCTGGGATCACAGGCTTGTGACTCCATACCCAGCTTTTACACCCACCAAAGACATTTCAAAAAACTATTCTGTAGGAAAGATTGCTTTTGCATTCTCTTCACAAAAAATATTATAAAATCACAAATATGCCAAAAGAGAATAATAATTCAAATATGTAGATGAAAAAGAATCTTGGAGGTATGTTAGGAAATTAATTGATAACAATTATTATGTTATTTTCCCATATTTTCCAGTATTTTGTGATATTTATGTTGTTTGTCAACTTTTAGGTCTCTCCCTCTTTTCCTTTTCCCTCCCTCCCTCTTTGTCTCCCTCTCTGGCTTTGTTTTGTTCTCTCTCTTCTCTTTCTTTCTCTTCTCTTCTCTTCTCTTCTCTTCTCTTCTCTTCTCTTTTCTTTTCTTTTCTTTTCTTTTCTTTTCTTTTCTTTTCTTTTCTTTTCTTTCATGCCTGGGATAGAATACAGAGTCTTATACATGCTAGGAAGAGCTCTATCACTGAGCCCTAGTCAACTTTTCAAAATTGTCGGTCAATTGTTATGATTTCTTTTTTCATTCTAAACAATACTTTCAATCTCATTTTTAACTTGTAATTCTGAATTGTTTTTCTTTAAAAATCCCCCAAACCACATGTTTTACATACTTCCTAAACTTGGACTCACCTCTGGTAAAATACTAGTTTTTTTATAAGATGAGGTTGTACAGACTAGCCTTGAACTTGTGATCTTCTTGCCTTAAGTAATTGGGATTTCAGGCATGTGCTACTGGACCAGGGAAATATTAATTTTATTTAACTTGGCTACACATGCTTGGCTTATGCAAAAGTACCTTAGCAGTGCCATCGCGGGAGACAGGGTGCCCTTTCCTGGCCGGTGCCCTTCACCTGGCTGGAGGCATTGACCGCCTTTCAGTTGTCGAACTTGCCTCCTTGAAAGTTAGTTCTGTGGCCCAGGCTGGTGGATTGGGACCAGTGTTTTGTTTTTGGATCAGAGCACTGCAGGACACCCTAGGTGACAGGACCACCACCCTCCAGGTTTGTCTGGGTCCACCTGGCTGGCACTTGTTCCTCTGGAACTGTGTAATTCCCCCTGGAATGCATCTCATTGGAACAATCAGTGAACTGGGCTTTGACACTGGAAAGTTTCTTTGGAATTGAAGTTGTTAATTATTCACCCAAGGAATGGTGTGTAGGTACTTACTCTCTCTGCCTTGCACACATAAGTTTTGTTTACCTATGCCCTCTGGGGTAGATCATTTTTTCAAAGCATAAAATCAATCCTACAAAATGATCATTTATGATGTCCGTGATTTGTTTCATCTTGATTTTTATTACATGTCAGACCAATCTCATTTCTGAAACCATTCCTGCTTTTTAATCAGAATTTCATGCCTATTTTTGCTGTATTCTGATTGTTTACTTTTTGAGATTGTCTTTAAAATGGGTGATGCTGTTACTTCAAAATAGGGATGAACCAATGGGCATTGCTGAGGAATCATGAAACCTCAGTCTCTTTCTCTCTTTTACTTCCCAACCACGAGGTGAGTGGTTTTCTCCCATCGCACACTCCCGCCTTCTTGTTCAGCTTTTGCCACCAGCCTAAATGCACCAGGGTCAGCAAGGCACAGTGCTGCATGCCTGTGATCCCAGCACTCAGAAGGCTGAGGCAGGAGGATTGCTATGAGTTCCAAGCCAGCCTGTGCTACATAGTGAGTTCAAGATCAGTCTGAACTACATAGTGAGATCTTGTCTAAAAAAAGAAAAGCAACAGGGTCAGCTGATCATGGACTGAAAGCTTCAAAAGTAGGAGCCAAAATAGTCCTTTCTCTTTATATCTTAATTATTGCAGGCATTTGTTACAGTACAGATGCTAACTAACACAGAAACCCAGTTGCAAGGGGTTTGAATTGTGCATCCCGGTGTTTATCTAGGAGAAAAAAGGAAGAGTAGAGCACATTCTAGAGTGAAGATATACCAGCAAACAAGGTTTGCAGGGAGGTGAAGAGATAGTGTGTGTGCATGTGTGTGAAGTATGGTGGGGTACAGAAGCAAGGCAGGGAAGAACAGCTAACACACATATTTAACATATCCTATAGAGTCTGTGCTGATAAATGTTTAACAACCAGCTCCTGATGGAAAAAAGTGGGACAAGGAGAGCTTATTTGAAGCATTTGCCAGTTTTCATGGTGTCAATAGGTATCAGTGTGACAATGGTGACCATGGAGTTATGAAATTAGTGTATCTACTGCCCAGAAATAAAGAACAAAGGCAATAAACTGTAGTAAATAATTAGGAATGATGCACATTGAGTACTTACTACTTTTTAAAATATAATTTAATTGAAAGTTTATATTCTCTAATTTATGATAACCATTATATTTAATGAGTGGTTCCTGAGATTCCTGAGGGTGTGCTGATTGCTGAGAGCTGGTTGCAGCCGTACACACTGCAGGAAATCTACCGATATGCACTCATGGTGTCACGGACCAGGTGTTGACAGCAGGCAGCTGGAGAGATGGAAAGCCAGAGAGGTACCACACTTTGTCAGTGGTACATCTGATCCTGCTACAGCTTGGCATCTTAAGGAGGGAGACTATCTTGTAAGTGTTTAATGTGGAACGTACCCTCTTTTTGTGTGTGGTTTCTTAGAGGTCAGCCACTTGCTGCTCCAGTCGTGCTTAAGTTAGACTGAGAGAAGGGTTTGCACTGGGGCTGTGGGGTAATTTTTATGAGAGTTAAGTAGGCACCACACCCCATTTCTGTGAGCGAGTATGGTTAACATAGTGCTTCCCGACTTGCTTGGCTTCCCAGGCTCCTTTGTCCTGTGTGTGAGTTCTAATCCCAGCCTTATGGGGACAGACTGCAGTGTATCTCATTTTCACTGCTCTGTGCCTTCCTCTT